GTTTGTTGTTTTTAAGTATAAGAAAGGCTTTCACTCTAACCTTATTGTGAACCATAAAGTCATAATCTTTCTGTTCAGGAACTCTGAGACCGTGACATACTTCTGGGCCAACTGGAATATCCCGGTTCACAAGTGGTGCCTAAGGTAAAGAACAGCACGACGGTAGTTTGGACTCGGCGGTGCTAACGTGAGCGGGTGTGATCGCTCGGTGGTGTTTTTCAGGCACTTTTACAAACCGATGCTGAAGAGAGGCGTGAATAAGTTTTTGGCACAATCGGCCGTGTTCCTGGTGTCGGCTTTCTTCCACGAGGTAAATAATCCACTGTGACCTTCAGCACTGAGCCGGGAAAGCAAAGTTCAGCGTTTGTCCTTCATTATCTGTCGGGTTTTACTGTGTGTACACTGGAGAAAATCCATTGCAAAAATTACGAAAAAAATATATGAAAATAAGTTAAATACTGCTTAAAATAAGAACAATGCTCTGTCAATAGAACGAGAAAATACGACTTTACAAGATTTCTGAAAGTGAGAAAATAATACTAGCCCAGAATAAAATCTTACCAGAGATTTAACTTTTTGTATAGTCATTTTGGGGGTTTGGGTTAGTTTTAGGTATTCAGAAACACTACGATAAAAATGGAATTTAAAAAATTGATTAAAATTCACTGATTCAAGATTTATTTACTGAAAATAACATAAATGAAGCTTAGTTTTTAATGGCAAGATTTTTTTCTTGTTTGAATGTAGTTTGGCATAATATTATTTTACTATTTTTAAGCTAACAATACTTCATAATCTTATTAGAGAAAAAAAGTCTAAGCAGTGAGTTTTTAAGCTTATTTTAAGTATTATTTTCATTTTTCTTGTTGTTTAGATAAAAGAAGTGATGCTATCTTTTAAGAAACATTTCTCAAAAACGTTTAAGAAATTAGTAAATAATGTATGTTTTTATTCTAGAATCAAGTCATTTGGGGCTAGCATTATTCTCTTATCTTCAGAAATTTTGTAAAGTCCTATTTTCTTGTTCTAGTTTCAGATCATTTTTTATTATTTTAAGCTGTATTTTACTTATTTTTTTCTTTTTTTTTCCAGGGATTTTTTCCCAGTGCTGTTGTATTTATAATTGTATATCGTCTTTTCCCAGTACTTGGTGAGTGTCCCGTTGAAGATGTTTCGACTCTGGGCCTTTATGGGGATGATGGCTCAGGTAAAGTCAGTTAGTATGAGAAAAATCAACAGTTAAACAATGATTTCCAAACGTCTCTTTCTTTGTGGGCGGCGCAGGTTCCTCTGGCGTGGTTCGTCAGCCGGTATCTGAACGGTATCTATGGGAACGCGGCCGTGTGGATCTCGCTCATCATCGGTCAGCCTGTTGCCGTGCTGATGTACGTTCACGACTACTACGTGATTCACTACGGCGCCACGTGAACAAATGGACTTTAAAGATCGCGCTCCTGAAATCTGAAGCTGCTGCACTTTGAGGAGGAAAGTGTCATTTGCACATATTCCAGAGCACTTCTTCTAAGAATGTGTCTTGATTGTACATTGCCATATTTGACCTTTATACATATGAAGTCTTAGTACAACGACCAATTCAACATTTTATTATATACAAAATAAATAGTCCAATCCAACTATGCACTGCCACTGTAATATATTTATTTAAAGCTCATATTTTTTAACTAAGCAAGAGATTTTTTTATTCACTCCACAAAACTTTGCATTCACTCTCACTGGGAAACTGCAGAACGATAGAAACAGGACTGCCAGTCTCCACCGGGGGGCGCCACCACCGCCTCTGACCTGCACCACCCCCTCCCTCACTCACCGGACAGTCACACACACACGGACACACTAGACTCGCACACTCACATGGACACACCAGACACACAACACATGGACACACTAGACTCACACACTCACATGGACACACCAGACACACACACAAGACTCACATGGACACACACACACTCACACACACACGCCCACGCTCACACGGACACACTAGACTCACACACATATGGACACACTAGACACACACACACACATGGACACACCAGACTCGCACGCACACACACACACACGGACACGCCATTCTCGCACGCACACACACACGGACACACCAGACTCGCACGCACACACGCACACGGACACACCATACTCGCACGCACACACACACGGACACACCAGACTCGCACGCACACACACACGGACACACCAGACTCGCACGCACACACACACGGACACACCAGACTCGCACGCACACACACACACACAGACACACCAGGCACACACATAGACACACCAGACTCGCACCAGGCAATGGAGGTAAAGTGTCTTGCCAAAGGACACACTACAATTTGCACTCAAGCCACTGCTAGCTTACAGTGGTCTCCCTTCACAGCACTAACCAGGCCCTGCACTGCTTAGTCATGTACAGGAGCGGCCAGTAGTGAGATTGACCAAGACATGACTTTTTTTTTTTACATAATAAAGTGAACACCAAATAAGTCTAGTTTGTAAATTTTTAATATGAATAATAATTGTGTTGTACAAATATAAAAACACAGAATCACAACTTTAATTCAATAAAAATGCAGAATAAAATTGTAAATATTGTGTTGAGGTGATGCTGCCTCATCTCGTTGTGATGTCACATGCAACATCAATGCAACCTGTAGATGGCGCTGTAGCAGTTTTTGATTTTTGTTCATATTTTATTATTTTTGATTTCATGTTTTTTCTCTGGATGCTCCACGCTGCACTGAAGAAGTGAAGTGTATTTTGTTAAGGATTTGTTCTTATTAGTGATGTCCAAAGCTGCTTCAGAACTCGATATGATTGAACAAATAATCCTGTTGACAGAATTCTCAAATGTGCTTATAATATGTATTGTTTAAAAGTGCCTGATATAAATGTTTTCTTGAATGGACCAAGACAAACTATTTAGACAGAGTGTAGCTTGTTCTAGTCACTTTTCCGACGTTTCCGGAGGATCTCAAACTAAAGCTAAGAAGTTATTTTGTCAGATGTCTTTGTACAAAACATTTTATTTCCATGAGTTGATGTTTTTTACTTTAGCTTCGCTCCTTGAGGTTGTAACGTCCACTTTTTCTGCAGTATAGACATAGATTATTCCAATGTGTTTTTGGGCTGTGAAGGAGGCGGAATTGTTGAGCTTTATTGTGTGTCCTCTGCATAAAATCCAAAGACGTTTACTTAATAAAATCATTTCCATCTCTCTGCCTTTGAATAAGTAGCTACCCCATTACAAGTCACTTTAAACATTTTAACAGTGCTTAACTTAGTTACTTGTTTTTTCATACATTTATAAAAAATACTCCCCAACAGTAAAAAATCATCACTTTGAGGCCTTTCTGAACCTGTTTTAGTTCATATATTTTTATAATGAAATCTGATCTATTATTAGTTAATGTAACGTTTACTTTATAGTTGATTTAATTGCAGATTTACCTTGTTTTCTAAAGCTGTTTTTTATTGAAATACTATAATATATATTCAAATTTTAGAATAACTTTTCTGACACTGGGGGAAAAAAACTTGGTAAGGTAGTGGTAAGTTAATGTCAATGAGCAGAAAACATACTATGAAAAACAGAAGCTCAAACCCCTGTAATGATCGATATGTCGCCTTGATTCAGACAGAGTTTGGTAAATGTGGAGCTAGAACAGACTGTTTGACATGGGCACTGACCCCAAAAGACTCCTCTCAAGTGGTTTATGTCCGTGCACTTTATGGAGGTCTGCTTTATAAACACCAGGACTAATAAAAATGCATGGACCAAGTGGTAAGTCCAAGAGTAAAGTCCATAGTTTTATAATATTAACTAACACTAGTCCCTTATAATGGCCAAGATCATTTGATATGGGTATTGGAGCTATCGTGTTTCTACACAACAACCTAGACAGACTGATACAGTACATTATTCTGAATCATGGTCAAATGTAAGTCTCTGTATATTAAAATGTAAATGCGTATGTTTGTTTCTGTGTATCCATAGGCCACCGCTGATACAAACTCCAGGTTTAATCCAAAAAGGTCCACCCTGAACTTCTGGAGATCCGCCCATGAAGACTCCTCATCATTCCTCATGCTGTACTTGAGGAGCCCGAAAGAGACTGAGGACACAGAGGACACAGAGGACACAGAGGACACAGAGACAATGGTGACATCACATCTTGCATAAAGACACAAGTGAAAGGTAGGTTTTGATTTTCTAGGCCATATTTCATTTTGTTGTTTACATCGATAAAATCCTTTCAAATCCCTGACACTCACTCCCCTCCCCATTAGTTATTGATACAATTCTAGCTAAAAGCTTTTGGTGAAGAATAAAACCGTGTGGTCTGCTATAAGTGATCCTTTAAACTGGAATTGTTCTTTTTCTTTTTTACCCCAGCTGTGTTTTTCAAGAGACCATGTAGCTGATGTTTTACCCTTCTGTCAGTGAGATGTGATGAAGAGTGGAAAGCAGGATGTGTTTGCAGAATGTAATCTGTCATGTGTAGAGGATGTGGCTATAAAACCTGAGGTCAAAATTTAAGTTGAGCTGCATTAAGAGCAAGTTCTGTTTCTTAAAACTGAATTGTCCTGTTTGGATTGTGCACGCAGAGATTGGACCATATTTGAACAAGGATTTGATATTTACAGCTTTATAAGAATAAACTGACAAGTAATTGTTTATTTTTGTAGTCTTTCCAGGTCTATGCAAGGAACGGTCATAACTTAAGTACTTTAGTTTATAGCTGTTAATACAAAAGCAAATGCCTTATTGAATTTGGTTTGATGAAAAGCATGCAGGAGCAAGTTTAAATCATCAACTGTTGTGTCCATAAGGTTTTTTTTTTTTTTTTTTTTTTCTCTTCCGCCTCCGTCGAGCAAAGACGTGTCTCAGACGCTCCTGCTTCTGACTGCTTGCTATCTCCTGTTTTTTGTCTTTTTCCTGGAGTTTTGCCACAGACAACTTTAAGCAACTTTAAGCAAGAATGGAAATGATTAATTGGTCCCTCAACGCAATTGATTCTATCTTTTCAACACGTAAGCGTGGGTCTGGAGAGCCCGTGTGCCCGGACGGGACTTCACCAGCGGGGTATACGCTTGATAGCTGGAACAAGTTTCAGCCCCTCTGTCTGTCGACCCTGTCTATTGAAGATTCGGAAGACGTATATATCTTTGGCATTTTGGTGGTGGGAATCCTCCTGTTTGGGATTGGAGCGGTTCTCTTCTACCACAAATTCGGAGGCATGGCAGTTCGCAAGATTCACGACCTGCTGGCCAACAAAATTGATGGGATGTACAAGGAGCTTAACCGAGTCGTGGTTGAGAGCGCCGTGGCTGGACAACGGAGAGTGGTGTTGGTGGAACAGTTGATCAAAGATCTCGCAGCTCGTTCACTCGATGGGCATAAAACTCTGGAATTGAGATTGAATGACATTGTTTGTCAGGCTTGAACTCTCTGACCCGGCTTGGATTTGCCCCTGTGTACGGAGGTCTGAGGGCGCCGCAATTCGGTTTAATTGGATTTAATAGAATATCTGCCTGTTTTTGACTGCGACATTGCATATAATATTGTCCCTCTTCACAGGCGATGTGTTTTTCTCCAGCTGTGTCTTCTCTCCACTCTTATCTCACATTCCTCGGCCAAGGCCATAATAACAAGTCCGGACTATCTACAACAACTCACACTATTCAGTCTTCAGTCTCCAGCTCGGATCCCTCACCCCCGCCTCCCTCTACCTATCCATCTTGCTCCCTCCCTCCCCTCCACTCCTCATTGTGTTTCCGACTCACCCCCTCCCTGACCCCGCCCCCCTCTGACAGCCACATTGGGCCGGCAGTCGGAGGTGCTCATCCCGAGAAAAAAATCCGTGCTTTATTCAAAGCACAATGTGTCTATCCAACTGTCTGTGTAATCTGTATGTTATTGCTCTCTGCTGTTTATTCTACTGTTTGTCGCATGGCGCCGGAAAGATGGCGCCGTGGCAAGAGCTCTGGTGTGTGTCGTCTTCTCTGTCTGGCGCACACCGGGGTAGTCTTGCACAGTTTTCCAATGTGGTTTTACTGCAAATGGCAAATAAATGAATCTGAATCTGAATCTGAATCAATAATACCCAATATGTCTAAAGTAAATGTCCCACAGAGATGTCTGAGTTGTTCCTCCAGACACTGAGGTTCTATTTATAGCTGATTGTATAGATACACATTCAACTCTCCCGGACGAACTACCTCTTCTTCTATACACTGTGTCAAATATGTCAAATTTATGGGACAGCGTAAATGCAGTAACCTAATTCAAATAGCGTTTAAATCTTTAGTATAGTCTAGTATAGTCTAGTATAACATTAGAGTACCTGTTTTTTTTCCATTGATGTTTATTAATTTCGTTGTTCCTGAAGACTGAACTGTCAATGGAAAACATCAGCACTTCTCCTCTTGAAGAGTCCAACTGCAGTACCTGGGACCAGCGCTGGGGGGCGGCGTACCTTCAAAAATTGGCGCACCTGGACCCAGAGCTTTATCACGACTTCTATGCCGTTTGGGTTTCTCTCATGGTAACTTCACTGAACCAATTCAATTCAATTCAATTCAGACATTTTGAAAGATTCAATTTCATTCAAAATTATTTGTTTACGCCATAATAATGATTATTTTATGTTCAGCTTTTTACAATCCATATATTTTTGAATAATATTCTTCTTCAGCGAAGTCTTGAAGTGTAATATTGTTATACAGCCAAGAGCCAACTCTTTCCAGCAACAGAAGCACAGTGCATTTTTACATTTGTTCTAACACTGGGCCTAACGAACAGATCTCTCCCTCTCAGGAGACGGGCACTTTACCTCCTCTGAACATTTGACTTTGATAATTAGATTTTAATTATGTAATCTATATCTGAAATAGAATTGTTGAGTCGTCTAAAAGGACTCGTACTTTCAGCATAAACTTAAATGCATTTAGCTTCAAAACCCAAGTTGGAAATGCAGGCTGCAGAGAAGCTGTGTTTTAAGGCCAACATATGCATTATTAAAGGGAATGTCGTACTGTACTTTTTTTATAATTTGAAGCACGACAAAACGGGAGATCGGTTAGACCCGCCCATACACACAACTCTTGCTTCCTGATTGGATGTAATTAATTCAGACGCTTGATTGACATTGGTCTTACTATTTCCTTCCAAAATCTCTTACTGGTGGTGGTTATGCAAAGGGGATCTATAAATCAAAAACACACACTCTTGATACACAAATCTACAGACTGTTTAAGTTATGAACATCACCTAGTCCTTGTGATTCATTGAAAGTTGCTTGTGCTGTGTGTGTGTAGGTGTGTAACGGGGTGATGCTGGTGGTCGGGCTGTCTCTGAACTCCGTGGCCCTGTACATCTTCTGTGGGTCCTGTGAGCGGCCCTCGGGCTCTGTGGTCTACACCATAAACCTGGCTGTTGCTGACCTGTTGGTGGCGCTGTCCCTCCCCGCTCGTATCGCGCTGTATCACAGTGGAGGCAGCTGTGTGCTCTGTTCTTACATCCACAATTTCAGCTACTTTGTCAACATGTACTGCAGTATTCTGTTTCTGACCAGGTAAAAAAGAGACATTTAAATTTAAGGGGTTTTTAAATATTTTTTTAACAATTACAAGAAAGTACAGAGACGTAGGTGGAGATCATAGACTTTAATGGACGTAGTGACACCTATTACCTCAATTGAAATGCATGTGCCACAGACATGGGCAGATTCAAAATGGCCATGGACAGCCCCTCCCGCAGGAAAATGTAATTGTTAAATGTTCATTCAACTAGTGCATTCAAAAGTCCACAGCGGCTAAACTAGACTGGTCCAAAAAAAATACTCCCCTTAGCATTGACAGCATCTAGAACGTAGCGTTGGACCAAGAGCGACTTTTGAACCATCCTGTAAAGCTGTTTTTGTGATGAAAAAAGGCGGCATACTAAAGCATTGGGTAATTCTGTTTCCGGGTACACCCCCACCGCCAAGGAGTGAGATTGCAGCATGTCAGCACACATGCTCATGGACCTTTTTGAGCTGGGACCCACCCCCACTGGTGGAAGTTACTCAAACATGAAGCAAGAATCTATTCAAATGAAAGTTTGCGAAGGCTCATGTTGAGGGAAGATCATTATGTCATGATGAAATACACATATTACACGACACTTCCTCTTCAAATCCATGTAAGTTGTGTTTTATTATGTTTTGTTACCATTTCAGTATCTGTGTAGACCGGTACCTGGCTGTGGTCCATGCGTCCAGTACTATCCATCGATGGAGGACCGCAGTGACAGCGAGGTTCGTGAGCTGCACCGTGTGGTTCATTGCGATTGTGGTCACCTACTCCTTTCAGGTAAGAATGAACTCTTACCAGGCGGAGAAATGCTTATTTGAAAAGTTTTTGTGAGCAATGACTATGTTTATAATGTCTTTCGATTCACAAACTGTTTTGATTGTGCAGTTATACATCATGGTGTTCACTTTGTCAGAGCATTTCAGGTGTTTGTACAGTCACGCAATAATGACAACAAAAACTTGACTGGTGTCGTACCTATAGAAATCTAAGACTGTGCCCTCGGAGAGTGCATACCCCGCCAACTCCACTTATTGAAAAATGTTAATGCTTGATTCTTACATTCATTTTCCATCTACAAACTATATTTTAGATCAATCCATCATGGAGTTTTTACACAACCTTCCGACAGACGAAAACATATACACACACACACACACCTGCTTGTCTTCTGAGAGTTTGCTTTGCGTGAAGTGTTTTATCGCAAAACATATTGCAAACTGAGGTGACAGTGACTCAGTTGGTAGAGCATTAGTCTTCAGGTTTAATGGTCGTGGGTTCGATCCCTCAACCACTTGCAGAGGATCAGCGAGGCCCTAGTGCTGTGAGCATTGGGTGGCAGCTCTGATTGCCTCCCACCTGTCCCAGAAGTGGATTATTAAAGGGGATCTTAATTAATCATTAATATTACAAAGCATTAATTGTTATTTCTGAATTATTCCACAGATCTAACCTGTAGCGTAGAGACATTGCCCGTTAGGGTTAAAAAAAAAGATTAAACCAGGGGTGTCAAACCATCCACTCCACCTACTTCCTCGGGTGAGTCCAGTTTAAACCTGAAGATTTGAGGGAATGGTTGGAGACTGGTGCAACTGCAGCCACAGCGGCCCTTTCTGGAACCGGTTTGACAGCTCTGGATTAAACTTTTTATTGAATGTCCGTAACTTTGTAAAATGGGGTAATAAGGATAGCAAAACTTTTCCTTTGGCGTCAGACATGTGCCATACTCTTCAACAGAATAGTAACGTAGATCTGTATTGATCTTATGTGTATTGGTGACACTGATGCTCTCTCTCTGCAGACCACAGCTCTTGGGTCCAGCTCTTCCTGCGTGCTGCTCCCGGCCCTCTTCTATCTCACTGTTCTAGAGTTCTTGCTCCCCCTGCTGGTCGTGATGGGATTTACTCTGCGTGTAGCATGTTTCCTGTCATCTCGACACAGACATGTGTCTCAGAAAAGTCGAGCCCGAAGAACACGTGCCATCGGACTTCTAGCCACGGTCCTTGTGGTCTTCACTATTTGCTTCACCCCTTTCCACGTTCGTCAGGTTCTGGTCTACTTCCGGGTTCAGGTGGAGGCGGAGTCTCCTGACCAAGGGGCGGGGCATGTTTTGGCCTATCACATCACAGTCACTCTGAGCAGTCTGAACAGCTGCCTGGACCCTGTGGTGTACTGCTTTGTGACTGACAGCTTTAAGAGGGTGTGGCGGGCCAGGTGCAGAGGAGGTGGTGCTGTGGATGGAGAAGCAGGTCCAACAAGCGCCGAAGAGCCCGACCCAAACTCTGTGAAGAAATGCTCTGGGACTGCACTCGCCATAGCTCACAGTGTGGCCACCATCACAGTGACTGGACGCCCACCGCCAGCTGACAGCGTGGATCACAGCGTGACAACCACACCATAACAATGTGATCGTAATAATACAGTGAATACCGTTGTGCATGTAAGGTGATCTTACAACATGTAAATAAAGCAAAGTTCAGAGTGAGCTCAGTGCAGTTTAGAGCACATGTCGGTTCTCTGTCAATATGGTCTTTTTCCATTTGTTTCCATCAAAATATTCCAACGTTTGGCTTTTCAAAAACTGTTTTCAAGAGAACCATGATATTAACCTATGTATGTTATTTTTTTAACTCTGTATTATCTGGAGAAAACCATGAGTCATCCAGACTTTTTTAAATCACAACTTTTTGTTTTATATATTGTTCTAAAATAACAAAGTGACCAGAAACATGTTTATGAACTATGAATTATAACTGAATTATGCATTTAATGAGATATGAAAATACATGTTCATAACTTTGCAGCCAAAACTCCACCAGAAAACAACACATTGCAAACCAAATGTTTTTTAAGAGCATAAAACTTAGAGCCAAACCTGGAGAAGCAGCTGCCATTCCCACTAGGGCAGAGTCTGCTCCACTAGAGGTCAGTGTGCTCATCATAGAATTGTCAGGTGCAGATCAACCAAAATATTTGTACAAAGCTGTGGGACTTTCTCACAGATTCACACTTAAAAACACCGTGTCCCAGTAGTTTTCCCTCTGTCTGCGTGACCTCTGACATTCAGTAAAAACAGCCAAAGCCAACAATATCAAGCAGGTGCCCAATGTTTTTTATACATGAAGGGTTTCACAGTATTCCTTTCTTTTTCGCACAAAGGAAACACACGAGAAAGCCGTGTGCAATGTGTTGATGACATTTTTGTTACATAAAGCCATAAGCGACTTTTATAATCCCCTGGCATGCAGGTCCATATGCAGCTGCAGGGGAGACTAGTTGTTTTTCGGCCTCTCCTGGAGCTGTAAGCGCTTTCCGTTAATCCACCGTTATTAACTTTAGACAAAGTGTGAGTTGGATTAGATCTGAACAAGCTCTGAAAATGCACTGAAACTGAGACCATTGGATGACCGTATAGAGGGCTATGTTGCAAATATCTCTGTTTTTTTCCCTATCAGAACAGAAAGTACATTGCAGTAATCTTGGAAGCTCATTTCATTCTAGTATGTTGTTTCTGTGTTGGTGCAACATCTGTTGCTTTCATGAAATAAATCTGTTTTCTTTCACCTAAACACCATTATTATTCTCTGTTGTCAGCAGTTAAGATGTTTCTTTAGGTCTCAGGGTGTTAACCACATCACCTGTGTTTAGTCTGGTTTGGTGCCTGTGCTCCACCCACTGGGACATTGCCAAAGAGCTTCAAAAAGCACAACCTGCAATAAAGGAAACATTGTAGGACTTCCTTAAAGTTAAAGGCTCTGAGCAACTGTGTGTTTGTGTTTTGTACTGGGGCCATATCTGCATGTGAAAGTCTGATGTGGTCAGATCTCAGAAGCTAAGAAGGGTGGGACCTACCAGTACTGTGATGGGGGACCTCTGGGAATAGATGCCGGGTTAAAGCAGCTGTTGAACACAAAAATGTCATTGTGTCCTTTGGCAAAACACATCCCACACATTAGTAGCCTTGTTTGTTTCTGTCAGTTTGCCCCAGGGCAGTTGTGGCTACTAGTATCCAGAAGAGTGCTCTATACATAGTTCCCACAGACCAATGAATGTCACATGACCTCCTCGGAGACGCCATCTTTGATGGCACGCTGCTGTGTTTGTGCATTCCATTAAACAGAAGAATGAGAATAAATGTAGATATTCAAACGCAAATTGGAAAAAAAGGGCAACTTTTGAGCAAATAATTGTATATTAATACAATGGCACCACAGTTTAACGTGCTACGGACATGTTTTACATATTTGATCAAATTATGCAGCAAAAATTAACAAGCAATGCAAACATTTCTCAAAAACTTTAGATTTAATACCAGTTGGAGCTCCATTTAATTATTTTAATTATATTAACAATTAATTTAATTAATGCTAATGCCACACGGACACTCTGGATTGCTGTTATTGTTTATTTCCGCGTTTTTGACCGTATGTTTTGGTGAATGGTGGGCAACTGATTTTTCCAGGCGTAAAGAGCAGTTTATTTTATGACACAGATCTTTTTACAGAAGCAATGCTGTTTGTGAACATTGTTTTAGCCCACCATAGAACTATTATTATCTATTTAATACATTTACGTTGCCCTCGAGAGCCTCGGACGCGACACCGATCCTCCTAATAATAAAGTAATCTAAATAATGAAACTCTCAAGTTACCAGCTATCAGCATACACAAGTTAGTACTGAGTAAATTACGTCTGTCAACACATTATAAGATACGATACGCACCTGACACAAAGTGCTCCGAGCATATTCTTGCGTGTTTTGAGGGAGTTTCTTGCCTGTTTATCTTCGCAAGCCATAACCTCCGTCGTTGTTCTGACAAAAGCTTAGTCTTCTCACATTCATGAAGTCTAATGATGGGTATACTGTAAAATCCAAGTTTAACGGAACCTCCGGCACGATTTGAACATCCATTGACCCAGCAGGAGATGACCATTTTCAACTTTATCACGACATTAACACGTTTCAGCTTCTTTTTCTATTGTTTTGCCCACAGAATGCCAACACAAATGGCGCCGGGTCGGCAAATCCCCGTATGTAGTGACGTCATGTAGGAACTATGTATAAAACTGATGCATTATTATTATTGTGAATTATGTCTGCCAAAAAAGAGAAAAGATTAGGTAACCTTTGTGTTGCAATCTACAGCACTGAGCAGTGAAGTCAATACAAGGATGAACTGGAAAAAAACAGGTACTTCAAACATAACTCACATCTGTAAGCTTAAAAATTCTTCTGAAGTAGAAGTTCAAGTTTTGTGCACAAAGTAAAAGTGGTATTAAAAAGGTTGAGGTTGATAAGAATATTAAAATAAAATGAAAATAATATTAGCTAAGTAAGTAGACAAGCCTTCAAAGGAATCAAACATTAATGAATCTGAAACCACCTTCTATCCTAAAAATGTTGGGAAAGTAAAATACATAACAGTGCTGTATTTCTGCTTGTAATTACCTTGCTATAAAAATGCTTGCTCTTGTTAAAGATGCAGTACGTTTTTGTTTTCCACAAACAAATGGAACTATGTAATAACAACCATGTAACTCGTTTATTGCTCAACACAGTTTGGTTCTGTCAATAGTTTTCACATGCAAGATAAGCTTTCCCAGTTTACTAATATGATGACGACAGCATGTTGTTGTCTGATTTTTTTCTCATTTTACTTTTTCAAGACCGCTGGGATCAACATAATCAATCAATCAGTTTTATTTATAGAGCCCTTTACAACACTCAAAGCGACCAAAGTGCTTCACAATAAAATAACATAAAGTCAATTTAAAACATTTATGCACTAAAGGTTTTTTTTAAACATTTAAAAGCATTTGAAAAAGTGTCACCTGCTATTGAGTGATAAAAGTGTTAAAAAATGTAATAATAATAATTATATATATATTTTTTTAATGCACCTTACATTTCCACGAAACTCAAAGTGCTACAGATTAAATACAGTACAACAAACAAACAAGCACATCAGAAGTACAAAAAAAAAAAAAATAAACATGGCTAAGAGCTAATAAAATCCCTAATATGCCGTAAAAGGAAGGTTTTCAGGCCTCTTTTAAAAATGTGTAAGCCTCCACTAAAGACACAACACAATTCTAAATCATGTGATAAAATAATGAGAAAATGAGCTTGAAATAAAAAATAAAAACGTAAGACTTCAGCAGAAACGAAAAACAAACACATCAAACCACGCCCACATATGCAAATGCACCGTGACGTAGCCGGAAGTGGGCGCCCCGTTCTTTTTCTTTTTTTTCCTCTTCTTCCAGCAGCTATTTTTTTTTTAAAGGCGTATTTAAAGCGCTTCGGATGAGGTCGCGGGCACCAATCTCAAACCTATGCAACCGACGCCTGTCCGGACCAACCAGGCGCTTATCCGGGCTTGACACGACCCTGCGAGGTGAGCAAAGACCCGGGGGAGGCGAGCAGGGGCTGCACGGGAGCTTTGACCGCTGCTCGGTGCTCTCCAGGCGGATCAGCATCTCAGGTTGAGGCGCTGCAGAAGGGGACGGAGGTGGAGGGGAGGAGCGAGGGTGTAAATAGTGCTTCCAACAACGGGCTGTGTCCAAAATAAAAAGACAAGACAGATTCAGGACCGAGATGCAAGCGACTGTCATCCACCCGCATCGCGTAATTAGCTTCAATTGTAATTATAAAGTAGCTGTAATTAGCGTAGTTGGATAAAAGTGCAGCAAAAACATGCATTGTGGTTGTTGATGCAGTGGTGATGGGCTCAAAGATCGCTTTCTACGACAGGAATAGGCAGATTGGTCTTTTTGATCCCCTGTAGCACCAAAACAGTGGTCCATGAAGACAACAAGCATGACACTAGTGCTATTAGCGACATTGTACATGTTTTAGCTCGGACTTGATGGATCTGTAGCGCTGCAACATCAGTAAGCTCACAGCAGATCCATTTATTGTTGGAACATTTCTGCTAATTATCTGTATTACAAGCATGACAAAGTGAATAGTTATAAATGTATTGGTTTAAGATGACCGAGGTGATGTTGTGGACATCCTTTATGTTTATCATGGCAACAAAAAAAAATCCCCAGATTGAAATATAATCAAGGGGTAATGGGTAATTACTGCTTTGTTCAAATCTTCTCCCATCCCATGATGTTTGGAAGCCTGTGTGTTGTTCAGAAAAAAAAAAATCAACAATCAATTAGTTGTGAATAATCAATGTACTTGTTTCTGCTTGGTGTGAAATTGCACCTGATTTATTTTAGTTTCCCTCTCTAGAAAAGTATTGCACATGTGTGCACTTTTCCCTTTATGTTGCCTATTGCTGCTGAAATACGACTCACTGTCCGTGTGCTAGCTTGATTAGTTTCACTCCAACGCATCTTCATTTGTCTGTTGGTGCAGGTGCAACTTCAGGACCAGCGACGCAGATT